CCAATCCCTGGCTCTTGTTTGAACTTTATTTTATTTAGCTGGCGCGAAGGGTCTTTCGGCCAACAGCGTTTTGCAAGACCCGTATTTTAAGATGTCTGATCCTGTCAACGAGCATGAACGTTTCAAGGAAGCTCAGCAACGCATGGAAAAACGACATCGTGCTAGAATTAATAAGGTATAAGGTATTTCTGTAAGTTCCATGACAGAAAAAGAATTGTAAACACTAAGTAGTGATTGGTAGTACCTGCCCACAATCTGTAATTTAAATTAGTTTCTTTGATATTTGACAATTCAAACTATTTAGGTTATGCGAGAATGGTCAGATCTTGAAGCACGTTACAAGAAAATGAAGAAGACGGATGAAAAGGGTGCTGAAGCATTTAAAAAAGAAATGACATCGCGATTCCAAAAGACGGTTCATTCACTTCAAGCTATTGCTAATGGAAAGAAGCTTTAGTTAAGAAGGAAATTTTTATGTGACCTGTTTTCGATTTCAGGTTGCTTCATTGGAAGAAGAGAATAAGGAACAAAAAAAGCAACTTGAAGATGTTCATGAAGAACGCGTACAAGCACATCTTAATGAGAAGAAAAGACAGGTGTGTGAATTCTCAGTTTCATTTTCCGTTTAGCAGTCTAGGTGAAGGACACTAGCAAATTATAGCGACAGAATCAGTAATTTCCATTATAGGAAATAATATTGCTTTTTTCACATAGTAGATTAATGAAGGTGGAACAGTTGTGCTCCTGGCACTTTTACAAAAAAGTAGTTTTTCTGCAAAAGCCTACAAGCAAGAGATAATTTCACTTCTCCCATCTACTGATTGTTTCCAGAATAAGGGTGCATTTTCATTTCCTTTTCGGAGGAGTTAGCAACCTAAATTAGAATGGCGAGGAGCATTTGATTCTTTTAATTTTTATAAATTATAATGGGTAGTGCAAATAAGGATTTGTTTTTGTTACTGACTAACAGTAGTGAAAATAATACAGAAAATTCTGTCAGTTTTCAGGCAACTCATGATTATCGTGCCTCTTTGGCCATGCAAGTGGGTGCACCGAACAAACATAATGTACTCAAAACACTTAAGGTTTATTCTTATCTGTTTTGTTTTTGAATATTCATGATTAATAGGTGAACAACGCACGGTTTTAGTTTTGTAACAGCACTAGTTTAATTCGTTAAGTTGAAATTTTATATTTTTCCATTAGTCTTAAATTTCATATTGTAGACGTATATTCGCGCTGAAGAAAAAGATCGAACACATATGATTAATCGCTTTCGACATTTGCTTCGTACGGATCGAGTAATTATTACTTGTAACTTTTTTTTTTCCTTGTTTACTGACGGATTCGTTCATTTGCTCATAAAAAGGCATTGTAAGCGAATATACAACTCTCCAGGACGAAGCAGAAACATACGAACCAATCCTAATTCATCAATTACGTTATATTGATCTTCGAATAAATGGTACGCTTGCAATGCTTCGAGACTTTCCCGGACTTGAGCGACAAGTTCGACCGATTGCTGGTAAATATTCAATACTTTGATCATCAACAAATTGCGGCATATGTTCAAAAAAACTGTTTTGCTTTTCATTCTAGATGCAGTTTTATCCCATTTGATATGTTGGTCACTTATTAGGGTTATCTATGTATTTAGTAGCCAACTTTCCTATATACTGAATTGGATTGTGCATAGATCATCTCGAAAAAAACTGATTAATACATTTGCAGTTGAATTTTGGACGGATTATCGTAGAGAGAACACACCAGAGGTTGCAGGAGATGAGTATACAGTAATTGGTGGGGATGAACAGAATATCAAACTTGTGCACTATTATAAGGTGTGTCCTTATATCAGTGGATGTTACCGCTATAATGAGTTTTGATAATTTATGTGTGTTTGCTTGTAGTTTAGTCAGTTACCATTTCTTGAATTATTGTTATTATGTATTTTCTACTTCTTGTTTATATATGACTTTTATAGTAACTTCTAATTTTTGAATGAAATAAAATGGAAGAGGAGCTATTCGTTTTATAGGAAAAGGTAGTTTTGGATAGAAATTATTGTTAATCTCTAGAACGAAACAAAAAGTAGAATTTTTTTTTCTTTTTTTTTTTCAGGATTCATACGATCGTTTACACAATCCTTCACGTTCACGTAAGACGACACTATCAATGATCACTGTTTCTGAGGTGAATTCTGATGCTTTATGTGTGATTTTGTAGGTAACATTTAATCTAATTTTGCTCTGCTCAAAATTGTTTTCGAGGAAATATTTTTAGGAAAACTAATATTTTGCTCCTTTCATAAATGTCCTTAGTTTTTCCTGTTTTGGAATGCTTTGATGTCCAGTATTTCATTTTATTCAGCTACCTTAAAAGGGATGCTTTTTCTTTGTATCTAAGTAAAATAATGTATATGTAACATATCTAAAAAACTTAGATATGTGACTTTCATGAAAATATGTTGATTACAGTAGTAAGAGTATATATAGGAGTCGAACTTTGCAGCCAGAAAAAGTGCTGCATGATTTGGATAAGGGAGGTAACAGTTATGATGAGGAGGAAAACAATGGCGCAAGTGTTGAAGCAAAAAAACAATCATATGATAATAACAAAAAGATTGTAATAGAGAAAATTGTACAGAGGCGAACTGGCAACAAGTTCGACAAAAACAGGCCTACCGCCTATGAAACTGATGATCTTGATGAGGATGATGAGGTCAGTTTCAAATCTCGGACTATTTCAAAAATTTAAAAGACTCATATGATATGTTTTCTTATATTTGTAGCAAATTCACTGCAACTGTGTTGTGATAAAGCTAGGATTAAAGTTGTTGAGGTTTTTTTTTGTCTTGGAAAAAAATTTTTAAGTTTTAAAATCAATTTTAGGACGACATCGAAGATACTGATGAGGAGCCTTTATCGAGTAGCAAATCAGTTGAACGTGAACTTCACGTTGAAATTGAACCAATTGTGAGTGAGCCAGTCAGAGTGCACGATTTGCCGCCGAAACCATCTTATGCTAGACATGAGCCACTACAGCATTTCAAGGTTCAGCTTTTTTTTTCCTGACTACCATTATAACACTGCTGTGCAGATTCTTGTATATATTAGTGGCTGTTATTCATTTTCTAGAACTTTACTTTGCCTTAAATTAGCGTTCCTACAGATGAGTGCGGAAGATGCCTCGGCAAGTATGCTCAAAACTTCAACAAATTTACTATTAATTTTCGTATCTGCTGCTACTGTTATTTTCATCGTGTTTGCAACCGTTTTAGTCCGTCAACGACCGCGACATCGTGGCTTCATAGAGGTTCTTTTTTTCGTGCATTTTTAGACTTTCATACAGTATGATATAAATTACAACAAAGTTTTATGCTTCATATGAGTTTGAAATTTCAGAGTTTAATGGAAAAATGTGCCATCGTTGTAGACTTATCCAAAAAATCGCCCAAATTTCAGGTTGACGTTTGTACTCCAGGAGAGCGACATGTTAATGGAATGCAAGTGAATGGCTATGAAAATCCTACGTATTCATTTTTTGATAACAAAGCCTAAATTTCTCGGTTTAATTTCAAGCTCAATGCAAAGATGCTTGCTGAATCACTTTTATAAGATTCCTACACAGTGACGAAGTAGGATTGTTGATGGGAGACATTACTTTTGTTTTCAAATTATTAGTTCATTTATGTCAATCTTAATATAATCATTATATATTTCTTTGCTTGTCAAAGTGTATTTTTGCGTTTTTGACATTAAGTTGCATCCAGTTCTTCTGTACTTTATTGTTGCATCTCTGCAATTTTCTTGAATTTCTGCAACATCTGTAATGATTTTCGTTCAGTGGAACTCGGTGAAATAGTTGATAAATTTTCAGCATAAGTTTTCATGGGGAAAATGGAAATGTATTGTGTGCCATCTACAGCTGCAAATAATGGTGTTTTGCATTGATGTTCGCTCTGCAGTTCTTTTGCTGCTATCCCAATTAATGTTCAGTGGCTGCTTCATAGAATATTTTCAAAGATGAGGCGCTTGTAGGGCTGCATCCTTCGAAACATTTTTTAACGTTTATATATGTTACTTTATCATTAATTGTTGTAACAATTTGTGACAAGCTGTTTTTTATCATCTTGATTGTCAGCATGGCACATTAATCGCTTCTCAGGTTTTAGTACTTGCAAATCGTTCTTTTTTTTTCATCTTTTCGTAAATGTTTAGCGAAGTGTAAAGGACGTTGAATATTTCATTAGGCCTTAGAAGCGACAATTTTTCTAGAAATTCGGCAGTTACTTATCGGAACCATAAAATGTGCTTTAAAATTGTTTGCTAAATTGTGTTAATATCACGTTAACTAGAAAACAAAACTTTCTTGCTAATTCTGGGGGTTTTCGGACTTCCAAGCTTTCTTTGAGTGTACTGTGCTATTGATTTTCTCCTTAAAGTTAATCTCCTGATGGAATATAATGAACTACAAATGTATTCTCATTCGATATCTCTAGATTTCTTGCAGTTTTATCGTTCTCTTTTCTGTGATTGTTATCCCCTTATTTTTTAATTTAAATATAGTTTACTGCATTTTTTATTTTACACACTATCATGATTTATACTTACTATTTTGGCGCAAGTTTTATTTAGTACTTGCAATTGATTGGATAAATTCTGTGTTTCAATTGATTTTTAACAATATCCAAAGATTTTGAATCTGTATGATAAATAAAAGCGGTTAAGAATCCATCAATCCTGGTTTCTCGACAGGTTTGGGGTTCAAAGCCTGTGGATAGATTAAATTCCAATAGGAGGAGGATTATGATTTCAGGGGGGAATAGTGTCCATAAATCGATAATTCAGTGGATTCTAGTTGCTGTCATGTTGCTTCACTTCACAATTCAATAGATTCGTATTTGATAGGAATTAACGAATGCATTTATCTGATGGCACGAATGAGGACAAAAATTATTTCGGCGACCGAAGGAAAAGATGGCGGAAGCAGAATGATTATCACAGGTTCTTCAGTCCTTTTATGCAATCTGCAGGCACTGAAATGACCAATTTTGAACTCAGTTCGACTTATACCCCATTTGGAGTCGGATCTAAGTATTTCTCGATAGTATTAAGGTAAAGTATTAGTGTTAAGGACCTTAAAAATCCTAAGAAGCCTTCGTTTGTTATTTCCCCTTTTCATGTTTATTCTTCCTGTACACGCATACATAAATGAACCAAATAAATAAAATTCGTGTTTGAATAGCGCTACAATTTGAATTACGATCTGGATTTAGTTTCCAAAGTGAAATCTATGACAAAAAATCTGGAAGTAATACAGTGACCTACTTTATAATCTATTTGTTTAATTCATTATGTTAACTAAGGAAAATAAGATTTTGTTTTATTAAGAAAATAGTGTATTATAAGAAGATAACTCCTTCCTCTTTTCCTATCACATCATCATCTGTGCTCTTCCCACTAACCTGTTTAACATAGTTGAGATCAGTAAACTCAGAGAAGTTAAAAGGAATATTGGATTTTTTAAATCAAGTATTAAATAATTACTGCATTCTTGCGACCCATCCTTAAGATTTCGTTTAACTTTAATTTAAAGAAAAAGTGCAAACATTTCTGGCATCTTTGTTTGTCGCTTTTCACGTTTTTCATACAGATGTCAACATGTATATCGCATTTGGTTGTACATAGTCGATGTGCCGGTATCCACTCTTTGTCATTTTCAAAAGGATCACCACCTAAAACTTGAATTTTATTATTAAAGCTGTAACTTTCATATTCTCCAAACATACTATCCGTGTTTAAAATTACACATTCTCTTTGCAGATGTTACATTGATTTGCAATTTATTCCAACATTTTTCGTTTATAATTATATTTTTCTTGTTTGTGTGTCTATGTGAAAGAAACTACGGCAATTGTTTGAACCATTTACGGTTTGATATTGCGCTGCGATTTGCGCATTTTAAAGAAAACATCTTTTGGGTCACACTGCTGCAACGTAACAAAACCGCAAAATTGCAATGAAGATTGAGTTTTTTAACTTTTATACCTACAGCGTGGAAACTATAATTATCAGAAATTTAGCTTCATATCAATTGCTCAAGAAGCAAAAGAACAAAATTGAAAAATTGTTTCTATATTTTTCCCATTTTCAATAAGTTTTGCACAGCTTATTTTTTGGCATACCAAAATATTTATAAATCTTTCATAGGATCAAAATAGAACTGAATAAAGTTATGACAATAGATTGATAATAAAGTGACGATTTTGAATTTTGTAACTTTCAAACTATTATAATCCAAATACATCTTTGTTGATCAAAATAAAAACCACGGTAATTTTGCTAACAAAAAAGAAATGTGTTTACTCTTGCAGTATAGAAATTTGTATTCAGAACTCGATCATTGGAAAACATTATTACTGTGGAAAAGTGGCGAAAATAACAACCGATTGCCAGAAACGATTCAGTAGAAGGTATATGCCACAAAGAAAAAAAAAAAAAACACATCGGTTGCTTGATATGTAATTGTGCGCTGTTCTAAACAACTGGTTATTTTTTGATGACCTCTGCCATCTAAAGATAATGAAGTTTTCAATGCATCTCATCGATTTATTGAGCATGTTTTCTTTTTTAGATTTATGCCTTTACCGGTGTTGAAAAATAAATTGCATCAATGCAGTGGTCATCAACGAATCGTATGTAGCACTATTTATTACTGCTGTGTAGAATGTAGAATGGAAGGAGAACATATTTCAAAACATTTCCAGGTTATCACTGAATTTACGAAATAGACGTTTGTTGAGTTTTTCTAAGGTAAATGTAAATGACTAAAAAGTTTGACAGTAACACCGAATTTTTCCATAACTTGTCATGTAGTCAGAACAGAATTAACTTTAATCATTATTCTCTGATGGTCATTATCAAGTCCAACGACTAGTTTTCTCTCGTTCACCTAACAAAACTTCTTGAACACGACTGTATTGAACTTAATAAATTGCAAATATTTTGAGGCCACCATTACTTCACAATTTATTTTGGACTCATTTAAAAAATCGTCTGAGGCAAGTTTTTCATTAACATCATTTCCCTAATTTAAAATAAATATAAAATAAAAAAAATAATAAATCATTAGTCAAGAACATAAACGAAATAAAAAGTTTAACAATATAAAAGTAACTACCGATCTATTATTTAGCGACTTCTAGTTGGAATTTTCAAGCAGAACTTCCTATTAAATTTGAACCAAATATTAGACTTGTAGAACAGAATGATAGCTTTACAGTAGGCTCTTAGTAAACAAACAGCTTTGAAAAATGACAAGCCTTATCATCCTCAATAAAGAGTTATGGATGAGTTTTGTCGAAGTAATTAGTAAGGACCGACCATAAAAATGACATTACTATCTCCTCTCAAAAAAGAACAGATTTTAATAAACGAGTAAATGACAAGGGCAAGAATATTTTTATGAGGTGGGAAATGCAATGCGATCCATTGCTCTATGTGAAATGTGGAATACGATAAGACAGAATATGTGAATTTGTAATAAGACGCGCAAGACTTAAATGATTTGTGTTATGGAAAATAAGTAACAGAAAAAAAAAATATGACGCAACACAAACTTTCACTCACCAACTGCTTTTATATTGCTCATGTCTTACTTCACTAAGGTATCATCATTCATTTTGTCTTGCTTATCTAAGCTTTGTATTTTAAATCCTTCTCTTTCCAATTCTTTTCCCTCCAAAATTTGAGATTTTCTACAAACTCTTACTTATTCTCGACTTGTTGGAAACAACAGCGGTTTTCTAATATTGTCCCAAGTTTAGTATCTTACGCTTTATAAATGGAAAAATTATTGGATACTTACATTCTTTGGGGTGCGTGAATATATATTTGAAGATTTTCTTCAACTCGGATTTTTCCTCTGCTTTCATAAGCAAAACAACACATATGCTGAGAAAATACAAATATCGGAAATACATTACTGCTGCTAAAATTTATATGCTCATTATCGCACGTTTCTCGTTTACCTAAACGACGATAAAAAAAAAATATGTGAATAAATGAATTATTTTACTTTACTTGATAAAGATACAACTTTGAACTGACAATTTAATCTAAAATTTCTTATCTGGTTTGTCGGACATTTCATAGCTGATTTACTTTCTGATTTGTCGAAATAACGGTGCAGAAAAGTAAAAAAAAAAAAAACTGGAGAAAAAATTAATAGAATATATCGAAATATGGATATTATTACCAGCTGAAATATAGTCGCTACCTTACTTCTACTAGAAATATATAATTTAGATCAATTTGCTAAACATCTATCAAATATCATTAGAATTCACTGTGCTTAGTGCAGCTACCTGTTAAGCGTTAAGCTATGTCACTTAGAAAGCATTCGAAAGTATTTCGGATTAGACTCACATCAAACTTTCCCCACCCAGCATCTAGGCTGTTACTAGCTTGCATTTCACAAACTCTTGCAAGAAAAAAAAGCTTGGTTTATCAGAACTGCTTTGAAAACATTGTGCAGTTAAAATGATGTGCCATACAGAATTGCTATCGGTTTGATTGAGCTCAAACTTTCTGATCTCAGGAATTGATGTTCTCTAAATCTAAATCCTAATTTTAACCTATGATCTGTCACAAGTATTATAGCTAAGGTGTCCGACTACTGTATATTGCTGTATTTTAGCTATTTTATTATGTGTTTTAAGTACTAATTTAGCTTAATTTCATTTAGTGCTTTACTTAAATAAAGACTAAAATAACTATATCTTGGTAGCTTCTTTAAGTACCAAGACAACGTTGAAAGTAAAACTATTGTAGATATTTATGGAATTCAATGAAAAGTCGTTGAGACATCAGTAGTCATTTTTAACATCGATTAACACACTCTGATTCTGAAATATTCCATAGCATCATATTTTATTAAAGTGAAAAGTTCATTATGTTCGAAACCAAAGAGACGAAGAAAGATATATTATTTATCTCATTTCAATCTCATTCATATTAGGATGTATAAGTAGTTGAATAAATGGGAAACAGATAAACGAAAGAAAAATGAAGCAAGACGATGTGCCTGGAAGACTAAAGCAGGGTGCTTAATAAATGAGATTAAAACTTTAAAAAAAAAATCAGATGATCAACAGCAGTTGACGAGCACACGGGGAGGACGCAGGAGAAGATGGAAGACAGTTGCGCAACAGAACATGTCGCATCATAAAAAACAAGAAATATCCGAAAGCTACTAGTCACAAAATGGTTTTTGAGAAAACGAAACACCTTCGTGTACACATTTATGATTAATTTACGACTTTTATTTCACTGAACTTTGATAAATTATTCTTTTTACTGGTATTATCAGTATTTGTTGTAATTTCATTTATATTAAGCCATAATCGTCGCGAAAAAATGTCTCTTGTATGGCCCGATACTTGTATAGATTTGATAACTGCCTCTTGTCCTATTACTTCCAAGAGCAATCAGAGATCCCGCAATGGGACTTTAGTGGGTTCATTAATGGAATTTTATAGTAGGACCTGGAGATGATGAAGTGCTGTCACAAACCTTTCCGTATCGCTGTTATCATCATGATCATTTATAATTGTTATTTCCATCATTATTTCATTTACAAAATACATATGTAAATAAGTTCATTCATTTTCTCATCATCTATTCCTTATTTAGACCCATAATACCATTTATACCAGAAAGGGTAGGTAATTAATTAGTTGAAGGGAAGATAATATAGAAATTGGAACGATTTTGAGATTTTCAAAAAATTCAAAAAGATATGGCTCATACTATTCAGAAGTCACTGCTGATTACACAGATAAGGATTTTAGTAACTAATATGAATTCCACTTAAACGAAAACCCACATAAGTACAAGGAACGAAACCAGCATTATCACATCGTGGTACATAAAATTTACTTCCTTAGCAATAATCCGTCATCACAAGTACCGTCTACATTTCTTTCAGGTAACTTCTAAAACTTCTTTCAAAATCTTGTTTTCTCTCTCGATTCAATTCACTGATCTGTGGCAGCATGTTACGCTTACATACAACAATCAAATCAAATTTTTGTCAAATCAACCAAATTTACATATAACAATCGAATCGGTTTAAGAATATTTTCAGACTACTGGATTTTGAACCTAGCAGACTAGCTGTTCCAGTGTTTCCAAAAAGGAAGTGAAGAAATATTTTCATGATAAGATCGAACCGGAAGTGTATTAAATATTAACAAAATTCGTATTAATCTACGCCCACGCCACTGCTTTAATCAATGTGTAACTATTTTCATTGAAGAGAGAAGGTTAAGGTGAAATTGAAGAGAGATTAAAATCAGAACGAACGGATTTAGGGAAAACAAATTCCGAAAAACGTAACTATATTTAAACAGGGTATACAATAAATAGATTTTCATTCATTAAAAGTACTGTCGTGTAAACTCAGAATAACTACATCATCTATTTGATAATTCGAATGATACTGTTTTTCATTACACCATGAAATTTACTGTTACTCAACTCGCTCACTGAACTACGACCGGATAACAAAATTAGCTGAAGTTATTCAAAAACATTGAGAATTAAAGTCAAGAGAATTATGCCAGAATAGATGTGGGTAGATGAGGACATTCCCAGGAAAATACACCAGATGTGGGAAAACCAATTTAGTTTACTATATTGCATTAAAATACGACTAAAAATGGATTTTTATCCCCATCATACAATAAGAAATTGCTGTGAAATTGCTGTACTTTGTTGGCCTTCTTCCCTCTACCTCTCGGTAGCTAGTTCTTCTTGGAAAAAGTAAAAACGAGATAATTATTCAAATATCCCAATTACAAAAACGAACAAAACCAATAATAATATATGTCGCTACCAGTTTACTCAGCTTTTTTTTGTACACATTTGAAAATTAATACTCCATTTTCTGCTGCACCAATTGTTTTCTTCTTGTGTCTAAAGATACGCAAAATCCCTTTTTCCGAAGAACCGCAGTAGATCAACAATGCGTCAAAAGTCCAGAAATTTGTAAAACAACGACCACACTTCTCATCAGTCGGAGCACTGAAGGAAACTTCCATGTGGAACAGTTATAACAATTGCTATTGGACAGAAAATGTGACTCATACTTAAAAAAACAGTGGAAAAGGAAACCAATAATTTTATACATAAAGTTATTTTCGAAACCTGTCAAATTCCTTCTAGTTATTCTATCTTTCAAAATCTTGTTTACTGTCCGAAATTTAAAAGATAGGAAAGTTGTCATATGTTTGCAACAAATAACAGGCAAAATCGATAAAGTAGAAAGCGTGAATTCCTTTAAAAGTAAGAGATTTCTGTCAAAGTATACACAAGAATCACTAATTGCATAAATTCGACGACTGTAGTCCATAATTAACACAATTAGAGTTATGTAACCATACATAACTAAAAGTAACATTCAATTACCGAAATAGTCAAGAAATTACGATCTTTATATTTTTCATACGATTTCCTACCCATATGGGTAGTTATCTTTCAAAAATGCGAAATTAAAAATAATACAACTATTACTATCAGAACAATGTATTAGGATTAAACAGAAGTGAAGAATGCATTTACTGTTTATTGGCTACCACACAAAGGTATAATCACCACTTCGATGATCCGTATGCTCGGAATAATACAATCAGATATGGTCTGTGATTACATCACAGCTCATCCTAAAGCATTAACCATCCAAAAATATCTTTAAAAAGAAATTATTCTGAACAGAAAAGTAACATAAGACCAGAAGACAATTCAAACTGAATATAATTCCATTTGCTCCGTGATTTCTGATTTGTCATATAATCCAAACTTTTCTGGTTCATGCATGATCATTTCACATATTGATTCCAACTGCTTTTGCTGTATTAACTGTTCCTGAAAATTTGAAAACAGACTCTAAAAAACCATAAAATTTTTGAATGCTAATAAGTGAATATGTATAGACTTCTACGTCTGTTTTATGCTCACTTCCAAAGATTCTGAAAGCCTTGGCAAAAATCAATCCAAGGTACCTCTCTTCGCTCTTCATCAGTCATAGTTTCCTCCAATTTTCTAATTTTGGCTCGTAGCTTTGCTGTTGCTAACTTTCCATACAATTCGTTAAATGGGCCAATTACTTCACTCAGTTCGTTGTTACAGAAATTATTCCATGTTTCAGACTTGAAGGATTCTTCCTTACACAAAAGCTGCAATGCGTAAAAATTTATAGAATATTTTATAGAAAATTTATTAGAAAGAAAAACAATGTTTGACTCGGACTTCGCAGTTTTTTCGCCATTTCCCAACAGTCTGTAATCCTTCGAAAACTACGTAAAATCACTCCAGAAAATGAGATCACATAAGTATTTTTCTGTAGTAATCTTAATAAGTACAGAGAATACGGTAAATTATAACAAAAAGACTACTTCCAGCGTTGCATCTGTGTTTTTGTTCGTAAATCTCCACCGAACCCTGCTCAGGACCGCAGAGCTGAACCGACCGTTAAGTGCTATATTAAGTTCTGAAACAAAGTGGTGTAATAAGAATAAACGTGCTTTCTGTGCAGGTGTTAGACAGTGCATGAATTCAACTGGATAGATTTTAATCTTCCTCATTCAAAACATGCTTCTAGCTTACAAGAGCTTTAGAGGTCGCATTTTACGCTATGTATCTTACCATTCACTATTATGTTTCAGAATTCAGAAATGTAGGCGGAAATGTTCTACAATGAATATAGAATACATAAGCAAAAGTTTTGGAAAACAGCGGAACAAAACTGACAAGAATAGCATACCTTCCCGTCGTACTCGAAACAATCCCCAGAAATACATCGAAACTACAAAAGCACAAAACGCTGTTATGACAATACACATTTTGGGATATTCTTGAAAGAAACTTGCATAGCTGTATGGTGGTAATGAGTGTAAAACAGTGTCTGGATTACTGTCATCATAATCTTCAAATGTATGCATAGCTGTCCTGAAAAAATGATCAGGTTAGAATGAAAACCAAAAAACCACCATCGTTACTGGCAGTGGACATTATCATCACAAAAAAAATTTTCATGTTCATACACTAGACTCCTACTGATGGATTTAACGGATATTAATCTTTCAGAGTAAAATACGTAAATACCGACAAAATAACTGTTGCCATGGATGCAACGAATGACAGATGAAAGAGAGCGTTTGATATCGATGAGAGTGCAACAAACTTCACCTATAGCGATACGAACATCTTCCATAAGAAATGTACTGTGTGCTTACATCTCTATCAGATATCCCTTAGACATACGTAAATTTCCATTTAATTTCGAAGAACAGCAGCGAGAGCCTGAAGATCTCGATAAGCAAATAAGGCATTGAAATATATGAGATATCATAAAAGAAAATAACCACTACCACTGAACAACGGGAAGCATTAATCAATAACGGTGAGACTACGGGATGAATGGTAACGTGGAAGACTTCCTGTAACGGGATTATACAGTTCATAACGACCTAACTATGGCAAGAGCCGTGCGTGCGACAACAAGTTTCTAAATAATCCAAGTTTGGAAGCAAGTTGATATGGTATGCACCCAATTGGTGTTGTCAAATATGATGGAGGAGAAATGCGTACGGAAGAGTGAATTACAGGACTGCTCGGATGTAAGCTGAAGACTCTGCATTCACTTATTTTCGATCAGCTGTTAAGACCCTTTGATTGCTTCCTCTAATTATTGTTGCTTCCGGATGAACTTTGCATGACTCGTTCTTTTTTCTTTTTTTCTAGTAATTTGAAATTATTTTGAACAGTATTTCTATCTATGTAGTTTTGTAACGTTCGTTACTCAATCAGTTAATGTAGTTCTAGGTAATTACGCTTCCAATAAAGTTACTGTGGGAGGAATTATTCCTCGTTTTTATTAATGATGGATGCTATATGGAAAACCATCGCTAGAAAATATCCGGTATGTCACAGTAAATCATCTGCACACGTATTTTTTTCCCCTATATATCTTAAAGCTTAGTTGTTTCGCTCTCGCTCCGTTATTATCTTGTTCTTTCATTAGTTTCACTGGAGATGTCAACTAAACAAACGCTGTTAAAAAGTGTGTTTACAAGAGAAAGTAGCTAAAGCATAATTTAATGAAGATAACGGGAAATAGCTATATATATATATATATATATATATGGGATAGAAGATAGCATCTATTAGAAACGAAAATAGCTTAAATTTAGTATTTCAAAATAATTATAACTGAACTGAATCAAGGCATTCTGATTCTAGAAATTGCCGACAAGTTCATGTCAGGATGTTTGCATGGGCTCATTCAGGGTAAGATTTAGCTACTTAATTTTGTATCATTTGGACTTTTTTCTGGACATGAATGCATATTTCAGGTTTCAGCATGTTTGATATTTAATGATTGGAGATGGTACGGCATAGGGAGTGAGATTTGCTTTTACGTTTTGAATTTGAAATAATTATTATCTGGAACACTAAAAATTTTCCTCTGTTTACTAATTTGACCAATCGAGTTGGATTGTTTGGTATTTCAAAAAAAAACCAAGTATACCTAGTTAAGTAATATTTGTAAGTGATCTTTGGAATGCTTAATATCATTATAGTGCAAGCGATTGCTTAAGGAAACATTTAAATCTTAGTTTCGGCATTAATTTATTGTAATTTTTTAGTTCATTCTTAATCACATATGTTTCAGAAGATTTAAGCAAATTTGGTTGTGTTTCTGATGAACTAGCTCTTCAAGTACGGGCCATTGCTATGGTTTATGTCCAGGCAATATGTAAAACAGATAAAGCACTTTAGCTACCTTCAAGCCTTCATTTGACTGCTTACTATGATTCTGCTGAGCTTCTTGAAATTCTGATCGAAGTATTCAGTTATGAAGAAGCGATGGTAAAGTAATCCTATTTCCTAAGTCGTTTCGTCTATGATTAATGAAAAGTTTGCAGGCTGTGGATGGATCAACGCCCGCACAGTTTGCCGCAATGAAGGGACATCTGCGCGCATTGGCGATACTCTATCGCAATGTCGATATTAGTATTTACTGCTGCGTTGGAGGATTTAATGCATACGAATTTCTTAAAAGTTTTACGAAGCGCGAGGAAAGCGAGAAATTACCCTGCTTATGTAACTTTTCTGTCTAACACAGAAAAACATGGAAATTTGATTTGGATGAGGGCTGCACGTTGAGATATTCATAGAAGAAGCTTTCAAATAGACCGAAAAAGCGATTGCAGATTTTAGCTGTCGAATTTAAGCACATAAATGCGTGTCATTTTATCAAGCTAATAGCAAAATCATCGCTTAATCCTGAAGCGATCTGGATCTTATAATATCTGCATCTTCATTTGCCTTTTCGATTTATCTCTTACTCCACACTATGCTACCGTGAAAGATTTTATTCACGGTCCTTTATAGCACGAATTTATGCTTGTGTTGACAACAGTAATGTGTCTTTGGGTATTGCTTATGGGAAATGTACTAAATATCCTGTTCCCGTGCAGTTTTTTGATGAACCTAACTTCGGAAAGGAAGTTACACAGGTGCTTATTCCTTTTTCAGTGTTTTTTTTTTTTTTTTTGCCATTAAGTCTGTCCGGATCTTGCATCATAATGAAGCAAAACAATGACTGTCGTCCTGTTTGAAAACAAGATGAATTGAATTACCATTTCTCTTTGTATTGATAGAAAAAATTTCTAGCTTATTAGCTAGTATCATTTTCCAGGTTTCTTTTGGGAAATATCGTGCCATTTACTTAAGTGATGGGCGAGCATATTCGTGTGGTTTAGGAAGATATGGCAAATTGGGTCATGGGGACGAAAAAGACCAGTTAGAAATACGGGGTATAAAATTTTTGGAAACAATCGTTTGTGTTTGTGCTGGACCGACACATTCAGTCGTATGTACTCGTAAAAAGGTTGTCTTAGTAATCAGCTTTTTGTTCTAATTTTTGTTTATTTGTTAACAGTTCACTCTATCGTTACTTATTTACTGTTATTTATCTATTTATCTACTTAAATTTTGGTCAAAATACGTGTTTATTCTTTTTTTGCGATCAAATTGCATTCGCAAAAAAGGCAAGAGTTATTAGTCTTTGGTGAAGTATAATGATTGTTTTTTTTATCGCTCTCAAGATCCCATTTAGAACTGCTTCTGCTTTGACCATAGGTACGATATGTAAACCTACTTAGGCTTTTCAGATCATAGAATTCGGGCTGAACAATAAGGGACAACTAGGATTGGGTACAAAACAGCTTGTGTTAACTCCAACAGTGGCTAAATCTTTTAAAGAAAATTCTGGTTACATTATTGACTGTTCAACAGCTGAATCACTATCTGTGATCATCATGAGTAATGTTTGTTTTCTGTAAATACTTCTTGCATTTTTTTATTCAGAAAAAAGTTTTATGGAAGCATTGTGTAGGAATTGTTGAAATTTTAAAAGATGGAATGTTCAACAGCTGAGTCACTATCTGTGATCATCATGAGTAATGTTTGTTTTCTGTAAATACTTCTTGCATTTTTTTATTCAGAAAAAAGTTTTATGGAAGCATTGTGCAGGAATTGTTGAAATTTTAAAAGATGGAATGATTGTGTTACTATTTCTAGTTCGATTTCTACGTTACTGAGACATCAAATGGTTTCTTATGGAAAAGATATTCAGGAAACATATTTAAACATGTTGAAAATAATTACGCACACCGAACATCATCCATTTCGGTCACAGATTCATCTTTGGTACGTATCTACGCTAAGGAGGATACATCGAAGGTAATTTTGGAAGGTGAAATGAATTTCAGTGGATGTACCAGCATTTCTTCCGCTATTATATTCTGTTTTGTATTTATATCCAGTACTTTTTTGCCGTTACTTTTAGATAACAATCAATGTTGATGGTGAAAACTATTACATCACTAGTTCCGTACTCATTACTCGATGCATTGGAATTTGTTATACTCCAGCGTTGGTAAGTTGTAATACTGCAGTTTTCACTTTTTTTTTGCAGTGAACTTATTCTAAAACTGGTTAATTGGCAGGCCTTCACTTCGCAGCCCTGAATGCCTTAAAAAGTTCATCGTCTTTCGTGCTTATCTAAAATAGTTAGGAATTCAATTTTCCACTATAAATCAGAACTTTCAATCGGTCAACATTGAAGGGTGCTCTATTTTTTGGTTTCAACTATTCCTCATGCGATAACATCAGGGATATTTTTATTCGATTCAGAATATCATGGTCTTGTTCGACCCGTATACTTCTATAGCACTTTAATGAAAAGAAGCATAATCGAGGTGGCAAGTGCGGATGTTACTCGAGATGGACAGATAATCATCGTTGACTACGTAAGTTCTCGTAATGGATATTGAAAACACTTGAAAAAAGAAATTCGTTTGTAGCAAAACTTGTTTTAACAACTTTAGCATTTTGAACAAACTAAACCAATGGTTTTATAATTTGTGTATTTTGAAATAGGAAATGTTTACGAAGGAAACTTGGCAAATTACACGCTTTGTTTGGACCCATATTTCTGCAACAGTAACGACAGTATGTGTTTTAATCTTAGGAATTTGAAGCAATTTTCATGAAACTAAAAAGACGAAGCATGAAAACCCTTATTTTAACGTGTTCTGATCGGAACATCGTTCAAATAGAACTGGGCACCGATTGCTTTAGTTTCTATTATCACTGTACAGTAATCTATTGTTTCCAACAACATGTATACTAAACACTAATTGGGCATACTGGAATTCTCTTTCTGTATCATTTTTACTTTTCACGCTATTTTTTTTTAATGGTTTGATTTTTGAAAATGCTGTAAGTAGTCGCATTTTGTAGATTCGTCGTGGGATACTACTGATCATATAATAAAGATAAAGGTTAATCGATTACGTGGGATTTTAAGTGCAAAAAGTGCTTTTTTAACACCAAATGGAAGAAACATGGTATTGAATTTGGTGGAAATCGATCCACGATCAGTCCTTCGTTGTATAGGAAATGTGTCTCAAGTAGAAGTTAGTGGAATATTTTTGATTTTTTATTTCCAAGAATTAATCACAGGTGAAGTTTCTGTATTCTCTGGATATAAATAAGAAGTCGGATTTGTTTATTACTTATCATCGTTGCAGTACCTACAAGAATTGTGGTAAGCATATCTTCCGCTGATTGTGATTAGCAGACTTCTTTAAATAGTGGATACTATCATTTTTTGACGTTATTTTAGAATAACTGTTAAAACACTGATCTTAACTGGGTAAAAAACAATACTATTATTTTTCAAGTGAGATAAAGGCTTCTGATGGAATCTTGTTTAGATCTTTCATAGAAAGCTTGTGAATGTAAGTAGTAGTGATATCGATGCATCCGGTTTTTCATGGCGAGAGTCTAGGATTGTTGAAATGATAAATTTGAATAAAATATTCTTGCAGTTTCCAAGTGACAGTATAGCTTTGATCATATGTATGGATGAAAATGCTGATGAGTTGGGACGCTATGAAACTTCTTTGTAAATTTTCATCGTATTTCATTAAGCCTTAATAGTTTTTTTTCCACACCATATAAACTAAAGATTAAATAGATATAAGACATAACTGTTGAAATTTAGAGTTATCGATTTGAGTAGAACGATATATAAGTCATTTGTGATATATAAGTAATTTGTTGGTTCAGTGCATTCATGCTAATATTCAGCGAGTTCAATTGCAGTTGAGCTATGTAAAAAAAGATTTTTAGCCTAACACAGTAATATTTAGGATTTAAAGAAATTTAGACTTCCACGAATCCATCAAGTATAGCCTGATTTTTCATTTTAGGGAAATACTCAAACATAAGAGCGACGTCTGCTCATCGTATTTTGGAAGATGGGCAGGGAATCAAAATAATGAAATTCGAATTACGGGCAAACCAGAGTTAATGGAGATGTTCTTATCTTTTTGTTGCGATCACTGTTTACGTTCAAATTTGAGCATACAAGAAGTGAGCAAGTATAAGATTTGGTAGCTCACAAAGCTATGACAAACATTGATTGAAAAAGTAAGCGACCAATATCTGTTTGGAATCTGTGGGAACTAAAAGAATGTTCGTATATTCATTAGTCGTCTAATTCGCTTGGGATAAACTATTAGTGGCTTTAACCGCTGTAGTTATTAAGTCACCGTGCAACCGTGACAAACTAAGACCGAAACTTGAAAAAGCGATGGCATCTCACAATATTTGACATTATGGCATGCATGCTGCATGGTTGAAATGGGTGTAAAATGGTTTTATGTCGGCCTACATCGATTATATTTTTTCTTGGGTCTCTTGATTTCACAGTAACAACAAAAAATTTTGTGTATTCAGCTAAAGAATACTTCAAATTATGTCACTCCTAATTAAGGTTTGGTTCAATACGATAATCATGTAATTATAGAATTTTTATCTTTTTCAATGAAGTTTTTTTCCTTTAACAGTATTGCAGTTAATGGAATTATTGGTATTTGCCGATAAGCTGATATGCAAAAGTTTCTTCAACGCGGTCATGAAAGAACTGTTCAGACCACCATGTAAGTTCAGAACAGATTTTACTCTTATGAAAAGGTTTCAAAAGTGCCCCATTTTTAAACGAATAATTATATATTTCAATGTATTCGATAAATTAATGCAGACTCGCTTATGTGTAATTTCCATTTCACATTTTGCTGACAAAATTGAAGTTTGCAGTTGAAATGTCGAATCTGCGAGACCTTTTTACTTTAGCTCGTTATCTATCATCTATGGAGCTATATCAAAGTCTGAGTGAACTTTGGGCAGCAATGTTTCCAATACTTCTGGAAAATGAATTTGTTAATGAACTGTTACTCGGTGAAATTGCATATATTGAAGATGCTTTTCGTTCACATGCTTTGCAGAATATAGCCCACACTGTGGATATGTTTGTAATCGCTTCGATTTTAAAAACTTTGCTAATGTGATGTCCAGTAATGACAAGTCCAACCTTTTTTAAAAGTTATTCGATTTCAATCTATAGCAGTTTTTCAGGAATCAGAGATAAAAAAAACTGGTGGTTCCAAAACAAACTGTAAGAAATATCATTGTGGATGTAATGGCAGTTCTGAAAGAACCGATGGATATGAAGTCATTAATAAATTTCTGCAAAACTGTAAAGACTAATTCGCTTCCGAAAAAACGACGCAAGCATATGGGATTATCACGGAGTAGTATTTTCATTATTTATATAGTGCTATAGTTTTAATTTAAACAAGTTTCGAGACTGCTCATCTTCAGGAACGGTCGATACGGAGGCACTGAAAAGCAGTGGACTGCAGGATTCTTCTATCAATGAGAAAAATGATGGCTGCGGCGTTCAGATGCCAAATATTTTGAACAAGACGGCCTTTAAACCCATAGACATTAAGAAAAAATATCCTTCACTATCAGATATCCAAGTTTTTGCTTATTTATCTTTTATTGCTCTTCATTTTTTGATATGTCACTTTTTGAAACAAATATGTTTATTTATTCTTCATCTATTTATTTATTTACAGATTGCAACTGCTACAAATGAAGTTTGCGAAAAGTAAGTTAATATTGTTAAGCTGTTAGCTTAAAACATATTTATGTTGTCTTTCCCACATAGATTTCACCTCATTTATTTTCGAATATTTTAGCTGGCTTGCTAGACTTACTTTAGCTTGCCTAGAACTATAGTTTGGAAAATTGTTTGTAGGAACATTAAATCGAAAAAAAAACATGCGTATGTTAATTTTGTCATCAAAAAATATAGGAGTTGGTGGCATCAGTTTCATCGAAGTACCTTCCTCAAGTGTTTTGCGAGACTGATATGCTTGGGTGAATTGAAACATTCTTTGCTTTTCTTTAAAAATTATTTCGATAGTACCCCTGAGTTGAAATTATCTGCTTTTAACGACACTTCTAGTTTAAAAATTACCTGTTTTAGTGGAATTCGTAAAACATATGCGTTTGCTTCTGTTTCGGGTGCTGTGACTGAGAGAGAAGGAAAAACTGTTAAAATAAAGCAGAAAGAGAAGAAGTGTCCTCATATTTCACCAACTAGCACATCGAAAAATACATGTGAACTTCAACAGAGAATTTCGTATTCATGGCATTTGGTATATTATTTTTAATTAAATTGTTTATTGTTGAGTTGATTGCCATAGCTTTTGAAGAAGATAAGAACGATTGAACATTTTGACATGTCTTCTCCATTAATCGAAAATTGCCTTGCTTTCATCATTTGCAGATTTATATAAGCTGAAGTAACCCCATTGTATATGAGAATGTATCTCTAGAGCATATCCATAAATTCTGCACTTTTTTCAGGATGAATCTGTGATTTGTGGGAATTCATTTGCACAAATAATGGAAAATGAACAAGCTCGACAGTTAGAAACGATGCGACAAGCGCGCTATCGTCTTTCCGATATAAACATGTGAGAGTTTCATTCGCTTTGAATTCTTAAAACAGTTCTCTTTCTGATGTGATGTCGAACTTTCTAGAATTGAGTTGAATAATAGTTGAGAAGACGGTGAAACAAAAACAATGCACTTCTTTCTCATTCTCAAGAGTTGTGGAATTTTGCGTCGACGTACAAACAGTCTGAGTGAATTTGTGCTCGTGTGAAATTACTTCCTTTCTGTGGAAGTAAATGATCCTTTTAATATTCTTCGTGAACTTGAATTTTTTCTTTGAATTTTAGGGAAGAGCAAGCAATGGCTGAGCTGACAACGCAGTACAAAGGAGAAGCTACGATGCAAGGTGTATCAATCACAGTTAGTACAGAACGTGAGGTGGAAAAAGTAAATGATCCACTTTGGGCTGCAAGATCGTGACTTTTTCCTAATTCATCAATCAACTCCAACTTGATTTTGTAGACTTTGCTAGATGTTTATTGTAGTTCGCCTTGTTCCTTTTATACTCTGCACAACCTTCGTTCTCTTATCATTTCTGCTCTTGCCACTGGCCGATAAGGAAATGCAAGGAATAAGATCTATGCTTTCACAAGAAGTACAACTTTTTTTAACTCAGTTCACTTCTGTCTTTTACCAGTGACTGTTCTTACTCTTTTTGTCTATAACAGTTATCAATTAGAGCATTTTTGTTGACTAGTTTAATGAGTTGGTGTTTGGTTAATTTGTTTGTTTCCCTAGGGGTTTTGATTTGCACTTTTGGTCTTTCAGTCAAAACGAAGACCATTATCAAAATCAGTAAAAAGTTGAATGTGGTTTCCTAGTAAATCCCATTATCAGTAATAAATAGTGGTTTCTGAAAATTCACTTAGTCTGAGAGACATTGAGTTCTCTACCTTGATTATATGGTTAATTCGACTAATATCCATTCAGGTATTGAATATGTGGAATGACCTATAATGTAGAATGTAATAGAACGTGTTTCCGTTCTACTACATTATCCTTGGTTGAAAACAATTTTTTTTCCAGACTTTTTCATTGTCTTTGATTAATTTTTTTGTTACGGAAGTGTTTGTTTTTCGCACTTTTTTTCGTCTACATAATGTGATGTTTTCCGAACATCATGATTTTGCTTTACTTCGGTACCCAGCTAAATTAGATGGATGACAATGAAAGTAAAGTGACAGTAATGGTCACAATGTTTTAGATTAAGGTGTTTTGTTTTGTTTGTTCGTATTTCATTAAAAGGAATTTTTACACATGAACATATGCATGTTAACAGAGGATCAGAAACAAAAAACTACTGGAAAGTTTTTCCAAAACTGCATTGGTGTCGCTAAAGGAATGAAACAAAAAACATTCCATTAACCGATTAGTCTGTAGGAAATAATTTGGGCTGTATTGTTATTCGATAGTGAGATTTTATGAGTCGGCATCCATTTACTCACGTGGTTAGAAGAGGTAGACGTTAAGTATATGTAAAGGTTATATATAAATGTTTCTTGGATCTGTCTGTGGAGAGAGCTATGAAATAAACGAGAAACAGTACAAATTCCGGAATCTTGGAAAAACCAACCAGTACCCGCATCATTGTCTTGGAGTAATGTGATCTTACGTCAGTGCATTGTGACCCGTAATGCCGGTGCCACTACTGCCATAAGTGCCATAAAATAGTTTCGCTGCAGCTGCTACATTTTCTGCACTGCTGAAATTGATAATTGCTTGTGGTGGTGCGGATGTCGTGGATACTGATGTTGCGGTAGAATTTGAATGAAATAGGATTGCAGGATGTATTAGCGACGGAGCGATGTTTGCCAAGGGTGTTATGGGTATGCTAAAATATTTTTGAAGTTTGTATTATAGATGTACTTTAAGAAAAGAACAACCAAAAAAAGTGAGTTCAAAATCAAACATGATATTACGTTTCATAATATTGCACTGAGCATTCAGAAAAGCTGGATATTGGGTATTAGTGATAAATTTATTGGCAAAAAAATAAAAATAAAAAAGATATGTGATGTGATACTATTGGAAATCATTCGAAAAGGAAAAAATTAATAAAACCTATTTGCAACTGCAAGATTTCCAGAAAAACGTTCTGATGCATCACTTATGTGATGCATATTTGAAGCAAAAATGTGTGATCGATGAATATTCATCGCGCTGGAACTGTCGACTTCACTTGCTGCTTGACGTTTCCACTTATTTCGTCTATTTTGAAACCAGATTTTCACCTGCAACATATCGTTATCATAATTGCTGTTAAGCACTGTTATCACTGCTTATTAAAAAACCCTCACTGACGAGAAGTATCGAGCAGTTAGTATGCTAGCTTTTTTCTTGTTTATACACTGATGTTGTACGCTTAATATGTAAAATTTGCATCCCGGTATTTTCAGCTTTATCTTTGAAGATTTTTGAAAATAAGTCTTAAAAATATAACGAAAATGAGTCGTGTAAATGAAAACTATCAGGATGATGATAATGGAAAGTATTACAGCGTGACTTCATTTGTAGTTGTAAGAAACCCAACAATCTAAGAAACTCAGAAGCGATAAAAAAGTCATACCACTCAAAATTTCGGAAAAAAGAGTAATGACACGAGGAAAAACGAGAATTTTGAATTTTCTGTAGTAGTTAAATCTCGTAAGCTTCTGTTGAGACTTTTAGTGATTATTAAGGTTTTAGTTACCTGCGTTTCGCTAAGATGTAGAGTTGAGGCCAAATATGCACGTTCTTGGCTGGACAAATATCGTTTCATGTCAAAGGTCATTTCCAGCCGGGATACCTGCTGACGACTGAAAACTGTTCGAGTTTTTTTCTTACGTGGAATGGTAGATCCAGATAATAAAACGGTACTTTCATCGTCACTTGCACGTATTGCAGTATCGCCGTCATTATCATCACCATTACCAGCACCATCATCATCATCATCATCATCATTATCATCATCATCATCACCATCGTCATCATCATCATCAACATTATCATCATCACAATCACTGCCCACTTCGCTCACTGGATCGGTCACTGTTTTCGAATTATCAATCACTTTCGATTGCTGTTTTGGAAAACAGAGATGAGAATTAAAATCAGCAGAAGCAAAGATGAAAGAAAAAACATCCTAAGTTTTGCGAAGTAAAAAAAATCTATACTAATTGTTTTTTAACTATGGTTTTTTACTTCCAAAAGATTTTTAGCAGTCCTTAGCAAGTTTTTACTGCTGTCAGATGCTTAACATTTATCAAAAGAATTTTTGTATCTAGCCGATCTTGAGGACCATAGGACATGTTAAAAACCATTGGATAGGAAGGTCTAGTAAAAATTTTATGTTGAAAGTTTTTTTTTTTGGAAAGTTTTTCCAAATTTTTTCCAAAAAAAATGTTAAATAAAAGTTTTAGATTGATTTACTTCATAGCTGGTGTTTAGAAGTATAAAATGTGCTTTCAAATCCAAAGGTAATAAACATACCAGGTGAGTTTCTAGTAAATTTTTCCTAACACTGATGCCATCTGGAATTACCTGAACTGTTTCATACTGCATATCTTTGTTTCGCTGTGAATAAGCGGATACTAACTGGAAGAGATTCTTCGCGGAACTAGATACTAAAATTGATCATATAATATTTTTGGAATAAATGTAAACATTGGCAGTAAGTGGAATAATGTAAACATTGGCAGTAAGTAACATACTGCCCAATCGATTAAAGATAAATAAGAATCTCTTTCGCTCTTGAATCTCTCTCCTTAGTTAGCACTGAGACTTCAAGAATGGATTCGAATAAGTGACAAGAGAAGTTAAAAGTAGACCGAAAAAATTTGGATTTTCATAACTGTGTTTTTCTTTTCATTAATATTTCTAGCAGAAACAAAATCTATGGAAATGGATTGCTTGATAATAAGACATTTATGACAAAGATCCCATTGCAACTGTATCTGAAATTTGCACCTTTAATTTGTACCTTCATTATTAACTTTCTGCTCGTAGTAGTTAATGAGCTGTATATATGAAATATCAGTTTATGATGCATGATTGAAAGCTTATGATCTACGGGTGAAAAATGCATCGATAATGCAGCGCTTTAATGATCCTTAGCTCAGTCCGCTTTACAGGGACTAAGAATGTCCAAAGACACTCAATAAGCGGAACTGGGGAATCATTTTGAATCTATTCAAAGGATTAATTTTGAACTTAAATGACCTCAATTTGCATAATAAGGCAATATGAAAAATAAAGAGAATCAAGGATAAGACAAATTATCTATGCTTTGAACATGAACGCTTCATTCTTCAAAATATTGGTGATTCAAAGCTAAGCTTTTTGCTACATTGTTTTGTTCTTTATTAGTACTCAAATCATACTTAATTTTTGTAGAGAATGAAATTTTCTTTTTCTAGATTATTCCGGACGGATGAAATCGTTAACCTTTCGAATGCAGATGATTTTTTAAAGAGATTTACTTTTACGAGTATAGATCAATCTTCTACTGGTTATATGTCTCATGTTTGTTACATTATTCATTCTGTTTCAAGAATTAACTTTTTTTTTTTTGAATTCAAAGGATGCAATTTTCAAAGAATACAGTACTCTCGTGAGTAATATGCAACAGATCTCTATGAACAAAGTTCTCATAAATATTTTAAAATGGTTGAGAAGTGAAAATTATGAAAGCCTTTTGTGTAAAAGTCAGAAATGAATTGACAGTTTGTATGATGTTGGAAAAAGAGCGGTATATTAAGAAGGTAATAAATTTAAGAGTACCTCAGTGAATTCAATGTCTACACGCATCACTAACGAACACAAGCACGGCTCACATCTGTGTAACACATTTTCACGTTGTTGATAACTTCCCACCATTTGAGATGCTATGATTTAATGTCTTATTCCAGATTATTATGAAAGCTTTTTGCATAAATTTGAGTGTCATTACCAAAATCCTACAGTTTGAAGAAAGTTCATTTTCAGATATTATACAGGAAATAACTGAAAGTTCAATCGTACAATGGCTATGAGCCTCATAACATTTCTTAGAATTACAGTAACGCGTCTGACCCGTAATTATCTGATTATTGGGAGTAATCCGTCGTCGAGGATGGCTCACTTCTGAACAAGGAAGAGAAACTCATCGCAGTAGCGATCACAAATCCCGCTTCCCACTGTGTTCAGCCAAGCAAAAAAAGAAAGGAAACAATATTCAAATTAATTGTGGTAAGCTAATTAGTGATGGGCGTACAATGAAAGCAACCCATTAATAAATAAAATTTTAATTATCATTATGATTAGAATTACTTCCATCTTTTGTGATAATAAAAATTCTGAAAAACTGCGGACTAAGAGCTCGATTTATTAAACCAAAAACAGTAGAGCATTAGATTTTATACTGGATAAACTAAATAGAATTGGAATTAAATGGATAATTTTAATATGCTTTTAAGGATTTGCATCGTTTTCTAAATTTTAAATTCATAGATGAAAATCTTAGGATACAAACTAACCGGTTCAGTGAAAGCTGTAAGTTGAAAGAAACAAAGATCTATCACTTTTAAATAATTTAAGAAAGGAAATGAGAAAAGAAAACAAGGTAAAAATGTTACGTATTTTTCTTCTCATGAAAAAGGGTTTTATACATAGTACTTGACCTAAGAAAAAAAATATTTAAAGTTAGTAAAATCTGGTGAGTTAGATCTTCTGAAAAGTGATTGTTGAGTTAAAAGGAATACTACAAAAGGAACAGTATTGGATTAATTAGGTGATGAACAACGGTAAAAAACAAGTAAAAAAGAATGCATGAGAGGGTCGGGAAGTTAATTTGTCGGCCTAATGTTTTACAAAAATAATATGATTTCTCCTAAAACATAAACACAAGAAGTCGAGAGAGATAAAAAGATAACAATCTGACTATTATAATTATTGCCATTGTATTTGACACATGTTTTTTCTACTTGTCTGTTACATATGTCCAGATATTTGTTATGAATGCCTGAATGGAATCATGTTGTAATGAAATCAACCCAAAAATTATCCGAATGAGTAGAGTTACCGTGTCCTTTGTGAAGTACCGACCTATTTCGTTCAGTACTCACATGACACGAAATATGTTCAGGTTCCCTCCTGACTTGAATATTTTCCTGCCGTTTTCATTGTTTCCATATCACATCCTTGCGGCAATGGAAAAAGGAATGAAAACGAAGGAGTGGCGGCTTCTCGGTTAAGAGGATACACTTCAAAGAAGGTCTTAAAATAATTGGATAAAAATGATGGTCTTCTACTAACCGTATTCTTAAATTCTCAAGAATCAGGAACGTAATATGAGATGTTCATTCTAACATAGTAGTGTATAGAAAAGGTGAGAAAAGATACTATATGAATCTTTTTTTATTACAGGTTCTGTTAGAATATTCTTTCTGTAAGCATTATGAAGGTTATTTTTAATAACGGCTTGCTTCATGCTACATATATGTTGAATTTTAATTTTTAGAGAAAGGTTAAAGCAACTTACTTATTCCATGAACTCTTTCTACTTGTCTTTTATCATTACTATGGACCAAATTCTGTTCTTGAGCAATTGAGGAGCGAATTGTTGACAACCAAGGTTGAAGCCATGAATTATGTGCTGACTGTTGTAAGACACCTTTAAATTTTTTATATATTTTTATTTGAATTTTAAGTTTCTCTTCTTTCTATATACATATAACATATCTTTGTTGTAAAAAGTCCATTACTTTAAAATTATGGTTAGTTTCATTAGAAAATTGAATTCCCTACTGATTGAATAACTTATAGTTGCACAGTTACCGGCATGAAGATATCGTGGTAACTGAGAATTGATGTATGGTGATGCTTCATCATTAATGTTCGTTACTGCAGGAAGAGAAATGGAGACAATTTCCTTTTCTGTAGTAAGAGTTGTGATATCGGCTTTCGGGGCTACTCTCCTAAATATTTTAAATTGCATTGGTAAGTTAAACCGGCTAAACACTCACTGGAAGATACTATACTGATGCACATTGAAGAAAACTCAAATCTTATGCTAATACATAGAAATTCTCCAGACTGTTGAGAAACTGCTGAAATGATAAGATTAATTTTGAGTATTCTCAAATTTCATAGCGTTCGGAAAATATCCTTAGGTATACATAAAGCTATTTCAGGAAGAAATAGTTTCAACTTTTCTGATAATCTAATTTATGTGTGCTGAATATTTCTTATATGCAAAATGGTGGTAATGATGCAGTGAAAATGCGTCATTATAATAATTATTATTATTGGGATGAAGCGATAACGAGCACACATATATGGAATTCGCCAGTTAATGCGGCTGAGTGTTACTCTATTGGAATAGCGGTGTTAGAAGTTAGCTCAAATTTACAATTGAGAATTGATAGGTCATTTTACCGATAAATAAAGACTCAGAATTATTGTAAAAAATTTTTCTTTATTTTCTTATCTAACTCGAATTTTTTCCCTCTATCTTTTGCAGTAAGGGATATGCTTACCAAATAAAAAACTTCATTTTTCATGTGATAGCAAATAAAGAATTAACAAAGTTTGCGAGTCAACAGTCAAATAAATTTTTAAAAGAAAATATAGGAAAATCTTTTTTTTTTTCATGTTTATGCATTCCTGGATATAGATAAACACTTCAATTACGTGTTGGTACGATTTGTTGAATGCTTGTCGCTCAATATATCCGAGATCGAAAATCGACATCGATTTCTTTTCGTTCCTTCTAATGGACTACTGCTTCTTTCCTGATGATCACCTAAAATTGTGCAGCTGATAGATAAAAAAAATAAAGCGTATTTAATTAGCTTGAAAATTTGTCAAGCATTATGGTTTCGATTTCAAGCTAAAATTTGAATAACATTGCAACATATAATACTTGGGGTAGATTTAACAGTTTCTTCTGTTGTATTATGAATTTTGCTTTGGTCGGAACGTATCCAATGCTGAACTTCGCATTCATCATCGCACTTGCTACTCTCATTGTCCGCCATCAGTTTCAGTTGCGCACCAAATTCTATGAGGCCAAAACTCAAAAAATGTAGTTTTGGCAGACAATTTCAAAAAACAACAATATTTTTGTCGTTCTGAATTTTCTACAAATTCAAACATTTGGAAAATCAGGACGATCAATACAAGACAATATATAAAATTTGCATATTTGTAACCATTTTTCTCTTTAATATCTGTTTTGAAGGTTAATTAATTTCATTCATTCAGGTCTCCTGACAATTGTAAAGAAATATGCTTTTGAAGTTTATAGAAATGTTAATGAATCAGAAATGCCAAAAAAGATGAGAATTGATTAAATGGAGGCACTACAAAAATTATAAGATCAGTTAAAGCCGAAAAATAGATGACCAACACAATTGATGCGCATTCAATTTGGTTTAGAAAGGGAAGAATTGAAGTTGTGAAGTATTGCTATTTTCTACCTTTACCATCAACAAAAAGACTGGATTTAAGTGAATTTGACTGGATCAAGAAGAAAAATGAGTACTTCTTGTGTCAGCAGTAATGATGGGGCAGTAACAGGTAATTAATTGATACCTTGGCATCGTGAGGATTGAATACATTAGTGTAGCAGATCACTGGTAAGCAATTAAAACAGGCGATTCAGATTAATCTCACAGTCTGTGACTTAATCAGCCTTTCACACTTAACTTGTATCCAGGTGTAAAAAGCAATACCAATATTAGTATAGAATTCGAGTCATAATAAGAAATTTATAATTCATTCAAAATGTAGAACAAAAACATTTTTTTCAACATTTAATTTAACAAGATCAGCCCTACAAAATGCTTTGATCAGAACTGCACAGACCATCTAGCTTTTAAGCTCTTTCACTTTGTGTTCAAACTCTTTTTTCTTGAGTGCCTCATAATACAGTACTTTAAGCTTTCTAAAATGCCATACTTTTCAAAGTTCATTTAAACTTAAACTTTTGGTGATTATTTGCAAATATTACTGCGTATGCAAAGTTTAGCATTAGAGAATAACAGTATATTAAGTTACGGTACTTTTTTGGATACTTTTTTGAAAAGTACTTTATATAAACACTGATTATGCTACACAATGAAATGTTTTCAATTTTGATTTTAAAAATTTCTAAATAAATTTTTTTTTTAATTTTGGATTTCCTCCTCACATGAACTAACTGGAAATTATTATCATTGGCTTTTTTCAGTAAGCCATACTCTCTATACCTGATAAGACTGCACAAGTACAGTACATATTATGTTAACAGTTGAACATTATAACGGGGTAGCAGTTTTCCAGAACCATAATAGATGGAGAACCACTTTTATAAAAACCAAACAAACATATGTACATAGAGTTCCAAATCGCATCTTCAATTTTTTATTACAGAAAACTTTCAGGGAGCTAGGCAAAAGGGCAACAAATTTCAAAAATTAGATGTGCAATAATCAATAGGTAATAGTTTTATCTGAAAAGTTACCAACTGAAAAAAAAAAGGAATGTTAGAAAACAAAAAGGAAGAATTTTAAGAAAACAGATGAATAAATGGACGAATAGAAAGAAGAAAACGAATTCCCGAATGTGCTCAGAAGATTTCAAGTCAAGAATTAATCTCAAAAGGAAGTGAAAGAAAATGTCACCACTCTGTTCACATTGTTAACGGGTGGGACTTATTGAAGTTCCGGGCGTGGCTTTCATATTTCATTCGTCGGGGCAATTACAAATGCATTATACTCATACCATGGATTGGATAATGGATGATTATGAGAAAAGGTTGTCAAATTTAGCAGCAAATTTCGAAACTGAATTCAGTTTTTGATTTCCAAATTCAAATTCATTTAAAATTTATTTGTTATTTTATAGTGCTATCTAACAAAATGTGGCATCAATTTCCTAAAACATAAGTGTTTTCTATGCATCTTTTTAAACTATTTGTTATCTGAATTCTTTCGATATATCGTTGTGCAAACTCGAATTATTTCTATGATTGCTTGAAGAGATAATTGTGATCAGTTCGACAGAAGCCATCACATTATTCAAAAGCACTGATGATAAGATTAGTCAGGTTCAAATTTTGACTAACTCGTTTTACGTAATAAATTTGATTTTGACAAGTTTATCGAGTAATTAACTATTCACTATTATTCCTAAAAATAAATGATCACTTCACATACAAGTATTTTTTCTCGGTAGCGTAAAAGAAATATTCATAAGATATCTTTGTCATATTGAAGCTCTTACTACAGTAAAGGAACATAATAATAAATGAAAAATAAAACAAATTAATGCAACATAATTGATCGGTAGTTGTAATTATTACAGTTTATTTACACAATCATACTTAAAGCGCTTCAACAAACAAATCGTTTTCGGACATCGAGATAGTGGTTAATATCACTTCATATCCTCCATATTAATGCAAATGAACCAATGAGAAAATGTCATTGCGTGTGAGCTATTTATTAGGAACGTTTTCTGTGAACATCATTAGTAGTTGACAAGTGTTAAATTTAAATTCTCGATTTCACTTTAAAAAAATTCAAAAATTTTTGGTTATTAAATTATAACAGCATCGAGATTTCTCTTTTTTTTTTTTTTTTTTTTTTTTTGAACTATAAAGAGTTCTACTATTTTTCATGCAACTCAAATATTTTTAATACATTCCCAGAAAATTTTTTATTACTGTTGATAGTTATTTATCATAGAAAGCTCTTTCTCAGATAGCTTTCAAATTGGAACAAATTGGCATGTTGTGCATTCATCACTTAGGTTTGTACAAATCACTTAATAGATCATTATTGGCTTTAAACGATAACTATTTTGCTGGTTTTAATTATTAACAAATGAAAGAACATAAAAGATGAAAAATCTGAAATTCATGGGGCATAGCATAAAGTTGAGAATTTAAAATTTAAGGAAATATAATTATAAATTGTATAATAACTGCATAATAACTTTTTTGCAAATTTCATCAATCATTTTATTTTGTAAATTTGAAAAAAAAAAAAAACAAATTTTACAGTGGTAGTGGATGAGCAATAGACAGAAATGAGTGAATCGGCATACATAGCTAAATGTTTTCATAATGAAATTGCTTTTGAACGTGGAAAAAAAACGTCAAAATTTTTTTTTGAACTGGTTCATCTGTCATCAAGTCATTTTCCTAGAGGGCTAATTTAAAATGGTTTTTAAGCGTCGGTAATGGTAAATCTGCTGCAATTAATGTGTTCATCAATCAAATATGTGGTCCGGATAATTGTTTTTTAAAATTGGATTTGGAATTGAAAGTGAATATTTATTTTGTGTAAAAGTCAAGAAATTTTGAAAAAAATAATGGGCAAATACAAATGGGAGCATAACAGATAACTAGAAGTTTGTGATTGCAGTTAAGTGAATGGAACGTCGAAGCAATTAGTTGCAAATGCCTCAGGCTACCTGATATATTACCTCTACTTAATTCGGTTTTGTAACTTCAATCTTCATTGCTTCGCGCTATCTTACAATTATTTATGTCAGTACTTTTTTTGCAATCAATCAAATCTATCCATTTCAGAGTTCTTTATCGCTCTTCAATTTAATGGACATTTCAAAATTTTTTAAATTCGTAAAGATTTTCGAACTGTTAGGAAAATTAGATTATAATGCTAATAGAGAAATATTGGTTTCCTGAAGTCTATTTAATTCCCAATTTTATTGTCGTGATGAAGAATTAATGAAAAGATATATATTAATAGTAAATATTTGACTGAAACATACATCATATTAGATTTATACTAGATTTACCGTATTGTGGTAAGAAACAACGGCAAGGAGTGGAAGGAGTTGAAAACTGGAAGACGAAGAAGATAATCAAACATCCAGAAAGAAAAATACGGGGGAAGGGAATTAAAGGCTGCTATGCAAAAGGAGACGTTTGGGTAGGTATAGTGGCGAACACACTGAAACCAATTATATAATTCGATCATGTTAATTTAACACATTAAAAGATCATTTAGTTGAGCTGACTTCTTAAGCTTCCAGTAGCCTTATCTTCGTACTATTTCTTTCTATCATTTCTAATAATGTAGTAATGGCAACATTATATTCCTACAAGCAATAGCGATTTGATTAAAATCATTGTATTGAGATTGTGATGATACAGCAGTAAGGGGCGTTTACTGTCAATTTATTTTACCCTCTCACTTCATCTAGTACTGGTTTAAAATCATATTTATTGAATCACTTGAATACATTGGAGGTACCGTTTTTTTAGATTTCTTGTATTACTTTTCTGCTTGAGATTCTTTTGTTTTTTATGAGACAGTGAATAACTTGAAACGAAAAAAAAAATCTAAATAACCGGATAGTAAAAAATGAGTTTTCTTTTCCTCGGAACTATCTAAGATTTGAGCGATTCTTGTGCTCCAAACAAGAAAAAATGATGAAAAGCGACTGAAATTAGTCCGCAGAAGTGAGTGCAATCTGAAAAATGTTTATGTTCGCACACTATTGACGATAGTTAAGTGAGTCGAGGATATTCTAATTTAGCTGATGGGTTCAGCCTCTAAGATGTCATGTCGAATCAAATTCGAGCTGTTTGCTATGTCTGCATCTGAGTGTAAGCTTAATTATTGTCATCACTACGTTCCCGTCACGATGACTCCCTTCTTGAACTAATGGTAATGGAATCCTGTATATCACAAATTATCCAGATGATGGATGTTTTGATGTTCTCCTCAGTACTTTGAATCCCAAAACCTTTCAACTGAAAATTCATCATTATCCAGGGAATTTATTGGAAAAAAAGGTTATTTTTGGATACATACACAATATATTTGCAAGAAGGCAACGTTATACGAACTATCTTTGAAAGCCATCTTAATGTCTAATTAGTAATTCAAGAAATATCAAGTAATCGTAACCTTTATATAATAAATAGCAAACCTATTTACTATTACTGAATTCCTTCTGTATTTTGTCTGATTATGAAAGTCAACAAAATAAACGGAACCTTACCAACAGTGGGATTTAGCCT